TTTTAGCTAATTGCTTCAAGATTGGTTGTCAAACGTTGTACTCCTCCAGAGAAGTAATTTGACTTTCTAATTTTGTGGAAATTCAATAATGGGATGATAGCGGCGAAGTGTGAGCATTTGCACACACGCCAAAGGGTTGCTAGTTCAAATACGGCCTTTATACCTCGTAAGTAAGTAGAAATTGAACAAATTTTGGACCAAAATATTGTGCATCACTTCTAAACCAGTTTCGAAAAGAACTTAACCAGCATTTGATCAAGTTTGCATTATTAACTATCTCATCATGAATGCTTCTCCATATTGGGACTTGACAGATTAGCATGTTGCTGTGAGCGTACAAAATCATTAAAAGTGCGCCAAGTAGCTTTTCAGGTGAAGGTTCCTTTGCTGTCTCCATGGAGATGTTATCATTTTGCCTGGAAATGTCCAAAGTATGGCATTAACCGCATTTATGTAGAGACAAAGACGTGAAAAAATTCATCTGCTCATCTCAAGGTTGGCGGCTCGAATCCTGCTCTCGACATAAACACTGTCGGTAAAATGGTCAGATCGTTGGCCTACAGATAAACGCTGTTGTTGTTTCTTTGGGCAAGACACAAATCGCTATATACTACAGATCTGACCATTTTACCATTTGCCACTACGCCAAGTTACAAGTCAGATTTTACAATAACAATACGTGTTTTTCAAGGCATTTTTGAGCAACTAAACACCTTAAAAGATTTAGAACCATTGTGGAACATTCGGCGAAGCAATAACACCTCCATAGAGACGATCCGGTAGACCCCACTCCAGAAAAGACACGTAGGGCACCTTTACCTAAATAAAAATAAATAACAGCATTAACCAAATAGCACATATCCATACAAAACCATAACTAGAAACAACAGTGTCCATAGATATACTCACTGTGCAGAAGATCTCTATCCTACTCCACATAGTTACAATCTAGGATACACGGTTTGTTTTATAAGACACTTACTGTTGGAGGTACATTCCAAATACGCGGCTACACAGTGTCCATGATATGTCATTAGTGTAACGGCAATATCACAAACTCAAATCCAGGTAAGCTTGGCATTTTCAGCAGAGGATTATGGTGGATCAGTGGACTTCACGAGCAAATAGTGAAAAACATGGTACTCTATTAGTAGATCGGAGATGGGTAAAGAATTTCCATGCAAAAAATACAACAAGTTAACATCGAAGAATCAAATATGTAACATTTGAAAGAAAAAATAGATATAAAATATAGAATAAAATTGTTGCTACCACTGACAGACTGCTGGGCAACCACTGAAAACATCTATGACTATATACTAGCTACTGCTACATAATCGGCTAGTACAATTTCTTTTCATCAAAAATACATGGTTGTTTAGAATTGGATAAAAATATTGGGTTCGATGTTTTTCCAGTAAATACTTCAAGTGCATTAGATTTTGTGGTAGCTACATGTTACCTCCCCAACCACAATGTTAAGACAAACTTTGTTAAACCACTGGTAAATTAGCTTAACACTGAATCAAAATAATACATGACAGCAACATTGGATGAAAAGTTGGGTAACTGGGAGCGAGAATTATTTTAAAAAGGAAAATAGAAAAACATGGAATGCTTTTTTCGATTTTAAAGGCTCTGTAACTGTTTTTATGTGTCTTGCCCCAGAACAGATATATTCTATAAGCAGCTCTTGAGGTCAAAATATGTCTGGTGTGTGCTTTCTGTATCTAATTATAAAGAGTTTAACTGTTCAGTAATCAGGAAGTGTGTGTTCGTATGCTAGTTGTTGTTAGCTTTAGTGTCTGAGAGGTTTAAAAAGAGATTATCGAGTAATCGCAGTGGAAAATAAGGATGCTCAGAACCACAACCGGACCAAACAGAAATTTGGTGGGGCAAGAAAACTCAAATGAGTCCCTCCTGTAATATAAATTAAGAAGGAGAATGTCCAATTCTGGGTCCTTAAAACCCTGGGACCCAGTACAACAGACCCCTTTGTTCCCCTTTGTCTACTTCCCTGCTCAGAATGCAATCAAAGGTGCACGGTGCACAACTTTTCTGATGGAGGGTTCGCAAACTGCTTGTCTCCATGGTGTTGTTATTGTTTTGCCTGGGATGCTCTACAGTATTAAACAAATATATCTTGCATTTATTCAATTATTCTGCATTTATTATCTACAGATCTGACACATAACTTGGCCTGGTGATGTGGCTGCCATCGCCATGGAGAAAACAACAATAATGTCTACATGGAATCAAGCCTCTACCAGAAAAGTTATGCAGTGCACTTTTAAATGAAGAATAACTTTGGACTGCTGCAAACTGTTTACAAATGGACTACCTCTGTTTTTCACGTTTTTAACACGAGAAAAACTCCGATACAGCGACTTTAACAACACCATAAACTTCTCATCTGCCGACTAGCCTTCTCTGACATGTCCAAGGGTGCAGAGGAAAAGCTATTTTGTCTGCGGGTTGCGAAAAAGGCAGCCCATTAAATACCGAACTCCAATACTGAACTCCAATACTGAACTCCAATACTTCACAGAATGATGACTTCGATATTGATCCGGCGAATCTAGTCCATGGACACACAGTTTCCAAGCACAGAGCTTAGTGGCACGACGGGAATAAAGGCTTGACCTAATTTCGTGTGTAGACATAGGAATGTACTGTAAAATAGAACGGAAAAACATTTGGTTAAAAAGGTGCGTTGTGTAACTTTTCTGGTGGTTACGTCAAACGCTTTTCTCCATGGAGATGTTATTGCTTTGTCCACAGATCTGACCAATAACTTAAAACTTAGTTTGGTTTGGTCTCCATGAAGATAGAATGGGTTAATGCCATACTGTGAAACATACCAGACAAAACCCTAATGAAGAAAAGCATTTGACGGACGAGAAAAGTTACATGATGCACCTTTGGGAATAGCTTGTGCTGTTTGAAAATTAAAACCATTTTTGTAACAACTGTGCATCTCTAGTCTGTACTAACAAAATCACTACCCCACTAGAGCATGAACAAAGACTCAATTCATAATGAGCTAATTGGTCATTAAGCTTGTTGCAGGCTTTGTAACTCCTTAAAGGAACAGGACTTGATTTTTACTGTCTTAAAACATGAAAAACACAACTCATTTCATTTTAAATGGTTTGCAGCGGTCCAAAATTATTCCACACTTACCTTACGCTTTCCGAGCATCCTTAATATTCACCACAATGAGTTTATAAGCATGTTTCACAACTTTTAAAGGCTAGAGCGATTTTGCCATGACAGTAACACTAACAACTACTAGCATGCTGACCGTGCACTTCATGAAACTTGAACAATAAAAGCCTTTACAATTAGATACGTACATAGACAGTACACAGATGACTTACTTTGACATCAAGAGCTACAATACAATATAGGCTACCTGTTCTGGGGCAAGACAAATCTCTTAATTCTTAAAGCTGCACTGTGTAACTTTTCTAGCGGAGGCTATGTCAAGTGCTTTTCTCCATGGTAATGTCATTGCTTTGTCTGGAATATTTAACAGTATGGTATGAAACTTTTCTATCTTCATGGAGACCAAACCAGAGCGAGTTACAGGTCAGATCTGTGGAGAGTCAGAGTCAGAATGTCAGTTTTTCTAGGTATTTTTGAGCTATAAATCCACCTGTAGTTGAATAAATGTAAGGCAGAGCTATTTAATGTCATACTGTGGAACATTCCATAGAGCAATGACATATTCCTAGAAACAAGCAGGTGACGGACCCTCTACCAAAAAGTTACGCAATGCACCTTTAATAAACTATGTGTTCATTATGAATTAAGTCTTTGCTCATGATTTAAGGCTATTACAAGTGTTATTATTCTAAACAATTACCAAAACCACGTTCACATTTGTTGATAAAGCACAGGAAATGACTAAACAATGCTTAGACTTGCCTCCAGTTTGGAAATGCAGAACCACAAAAACAGTGTTACATAACTCTGCCAAGGTAGTTTTCCCCCACACAAAGAAGCTATTTTTGGACAATCCACACGCTCCAGACCCCCATAGGTGAAGTCATTTTGGATTCACCCAGGAAGCGTGACGTGTTCTCTCTCCATTCAACCATGCAAACAGAGAAAGAGAAACGGGTTTGCAAAAAGAAAGAAAAAAAGCTATTGTTACTACTGTAGATGCAATCATGTAGAAAACTTGAAATGCTGCTTCCATTTCAGTCTTGTTGCAAATGTTAATGCCCTTCGATGTGTTTTAAGGTGTGTTCACACTTGGTCCCAGTTTAGTCCTGATGTAGACTTGGTTTGGTTGTGGTTTAGTCTTGATTTAGCCCTGGTTTAGTTCCAGGTTTAGTACAATGTTTGTCTCAGTTTTGATGAGGTGAGTGTGGTGAATGAATAACTTGCACATATCAAAACTGGAATTACGCCGGGACTAAATTTGAAACTGAACCCAGACTAGACTCGAGAATGGGACTTTCAGCTCTTTTATGAGATCTGACGCTTTTGGATTTGTTCATTTCAAAGTGGTGTTCAAAAAGACTGGCTCTTTTGCTACTTGGCAGAAGATAAAGTGAGAAGAACAAATTTTATCTACATAAAAAGGCATACAAATTTGAAAGAAAAAGATCCAACTCTTTTCAAAAGTGAGATCCAGTTCCAGCCGTTCACGTTAAGGAACCGTTCAGAAGACCTGACTACAGACTACAGACTAGTCCAGGATTTAATCAGGACTAGAACAGGACCAATACTAAACCTACATCTGGAATAAACTGGACTCAAACCACAACCAAACATAAAGTGTGAACGCACACTAAATGTTCACAGCAAATTAAATATTGAAGAAAAAAAAAGCAACCGAACACTTTGTCAACACTTTTCAAATTCACCCAACTTTACCGCCTGAAAGAAAGTCTTCTCTTCAAACAACAAGTTGTACAACCACTGACTATCAAAGTTCAGCTAAGTGCTTTCTCAGTCACATTCCATTCACCGGTCTCTTATTTTCACCATCACAACATGCCCTGATCAGCCGTGAAGAACCCCCCTTCCTTCTTTTTCCTCCTCCTCAGTCTGTGCGCCCTCCAGCAAACGGCGGCCACGAGCAGCATCACGGCGCCAACGCACAACAACGCCACCGACACCACTTTAGTCTGGAGGAGCGTGTTGAACTTGAACGTGACCCCCGTGCCCGCCATGCCGATCACCAACGAAATGACGCCGAACGGGAACACGCACCGGTACCACGACTTCTCCGTACCCCCGGTCGCCTGCGCTAATCTTTCAAGAGTCGGTAAAGACTGCGGTAGCGTTATCTCTTCCCTCTCTGCTCTTTCATCCTCACCGTTGCCTCTCAGTCCATTCAAACCTTGGTTCTCAGAGTCCTGCGGTAGAGTGTTGGTTTCGCTGCCGTTGCCGTAGTCCAAGTCGGGGTGAAGAACCGGCGCGGGGGGCTGTCTACCTGAGGAGCAGCCCATTTCCGAAGCACCGTCCCTGGGTAACTGATGCGAGAGCTGCTCCGTGTTGGTGGGGGTTTCCCTCCCAGCTTATGTGCGATTATTGCTCTTGGCTGCAACGACGCTATGGGAGATCTCTTTAAAGCTGCTTCATCTGTTGTCAATGTCAACGCCACGGAGGAGGTTGTAGGCTGGCTTTCGTGACTTGCCAGCATGTGTTTGTGACTGAAAAGCAAGAGAAGGAAGAAGGATTAGGATAAAGAGGATGAAAGGCAAGGAAATAGCACCGCAAACAGCCTTTTCACATTAACAAAAGATTCAATTTGAACAGAGAAAAGATAAAGATTCCGTCAAGGAGAAAGCTCTTACTGCGTTCGTCCGTCAAAGAGTGAATGCTTTCAGCTGAGCATTGTATCCACGCGGCAGCACCACCAGCAGCAGCGGTGTGTGTGTTGTGGATTGGATTCTCATAGACTATATAATGACAAAGGAGTAGAGGAGGGGCTCCGGGGAAGTGCAGGGCCGGATAGAGGCTCGGGATTGGCTGTTTGCGCAGGATGATCTCAGAGAAGAGGGAGAGAGAGAGAGGTGAACCGTTCTGCGCTCTCATTCAGGAATATGAATTCATTATTTAGCGTAGAGGGAAATGTGAGCCAGCTTCACCGGGTTGCTGCTTTGTGCGTTGGTAGAGGTGTATAATGATTCTTTTGTGTCTAAATCCTTTTGTAGCGAAGATATTGGATGATTACAAAGCTACATTTCTAGCTGGTAGATGTAGAGGATATTCTTTCCACACATGACATAATAAATGTGGACTGTGGACTTCGTTACCTGCTGCTAATCTCCAAGGAGATGTTAACCGCTTGCCAGGAATGTTCCACTGAATGACATTATTCTCATCTATCTTGCATCTATTCAATTACCGGTGGTTTTATGTGTCCAATAAAATACCTTGAAAAACATGGCTTCTTGTTGTGAGGAGGGCCGCCCCTCTGCAGATCTGACGTGTAACTTCACCTGAGTAGATTATGATCTTTTTTGCCAGGAATGTTCCAGTGAATGAGGAATCACCCCATGGCAAGCTAACGTACCACTGACAAGCAAGGGATCCAGTACCTGCTTGTCTCCATGGAGATCTTACTGCTTTGCCAGAAATGTTCCACTGAATAGAATTCTACTTGCACCTATCCAATTACTGGTGTTTTATGTGTCTAATAAAATACCTTAGAAAAACAACCGTTCTTGCTGTGAGCAGGTCGGCCTCTCCACAGATCTGCAGCGTAACTTCTAGTAGATTATCATAACCAATCAGCGGCAATCCTAGACAAGTTAAGGAGTCATTGTCAAGTCTCCATTGAGATTGTATTGCTTTACCAGAAATGTTCCATTTTATATTTGTGTTTATTCAATTACCAGTGGCTTTACGTGCAAATAGGGACGCCTCTCCACAGATGTGATGTGTAATTTAAGAATAGATTATGATCTCCAATGCAAAAAGTAAAGATCACTGACAATCCTAGACAAGTTAAAGAACCATCGACAAGTAGCCAGTACCTGCTTGTCTCCATGGTGATGTTATTGTTTTACTAGAAATGTTACACTGAGTAGCATTATACTTGCATCTATTCAATTACCAGTGTGTTTATGTGTGAATAGGGACGCCTCTCCACAGACCTGACGTGTAATTTAAGCATAGATTATGACTTCCAATGCAAAAAGTAAAGATCACAGACAATCCTCGACAAGCTAACGGACGTCTGCAAGCAATTCTGTCAACACCAGGGCACTCTTCTTCTTCTCCTCCACCTCTCCTCCCCCTCTCCTTTATAAGTGCGTCATCGGTCTTTCCCCCTCGTAAACCCCCCACCCCCCCCACCCGTTCCCTCCTCCTTCCTCCCTCTCCGTGACAATGACAAAGGTACGCGAGCTGCCACACGATCTCCGGAGTCGGATCAAATTCAGCACTAAAAGTCACTGTGATTTTTATAGCTGTGCCGGCTGCATTTCTAACGTTTCCATGTAGCTAGAATACTCAAGCCCGGGTGAAATTATAGCTCATTGATTTTGGCTCCTAACTTCCACGATTGCCAGAAGGAAAAAAGAATTATCTTATTAGGACTGAAAGAGTGTATTTGCGGAGTCAGTTTAGTAGAGTAGCAATATCTGGTTTGAGAATATTGTTATGTTATTAGATTTGGTTGATAGACCGCCTTGTTCCAAATAGTGCATCATGCGGTCTTATGTTATAGAAGTCAAATGTATGTTCAAAAATTTTATTACGGTGGCATTTGCATCTCTGATTATCAAAAAAGGATTCGAATATTTAAAGGGTCTTATACCTGATTTTTCTATGTATTTAAGCAAAATCTGTCTTAACCCAGTACAGTTATATTGAGGTTAAATTAATCCTGCTGTGAAAGCATTTTATTGTCCAAAAATCAGGAAGTATGTGTTCGCATGCTAGATTAGAGATTTCAGTTATGTTGGCATTAGCTTCAAGAAACAGTACTTACTATTTCAGTGAAGTACAAAATAAGTCAGCTGTGTGCCGTCCGCATCTAATAAGAAAGCATTTTATTGCCCGATAATCAGGAACTGTGTCTTAGTATGCTAGTTACTGTTTGCTTTACTGTCATGGCAAAACAAAGCTAATGCAAACTGAAATCAAAATTAATTACTGATGCAAAAATAGTGCTACAATTTTCATTATTGTGTGTACAGAAACAACTGACTGGCCATTAGATGTATTTTTAGGAAGCATTTTATTGTCCAGTAATCAGCAAGAGTGTGTTAGCATGCTAGTTACTGTTAGCTTTACCGTCACAGGAAAACTCAAAGCTAACTGATTAGATTAGAGATTTCGGTTAGGTTGACATTAGCTTCAAGAAACAATACTTAATATTTCAGTGAAGTACAGCAGTCTGCATCTATTTAGAAAGTATTTTATTGCCCAGTAATCAGGAACTGTGTCTTAGCATGCTAGTTACTGTTAGTTTTACCGTCACAACAAAACTTGAAGCTAATGCTAAATGGAGCTAAAAACAATACTTCACGTAAAAATACCACAACAATCTGCATTATCTTCCATATAAAAATAATCGACTGGCTCTTTGGTTAGAGAGAAGAGATTTGGGGGTTTTTCGGTAGCATTAGCTTCAAGACACAAATTCTTGCTACTCCGAAGTGTTTACATCGTTATAAAGGTCATAACTTTTACTACGCTGCCAGATATTGACACTGATTTATTTTAGCACGACTTTAGCAAATTTCTAGTGGAGAATGAATGGAGCGTGAGTGTAAGTGTGGTCAGAATGCTCGGAATGCATAAGGTAAATGAGGATAACTGCAAACTGCAAATATTTTCGCATTATTAGACAGTATATTACACTGTTTTAAGCTCTAATAGTTCTAATGTTGTTTCGTCATCACAAACATACCTGGAGTTGTGTTTGGTTCATTCACACACACTGTATATTTACAGAGAATGCTCCATTGTGTATTTAAACTCCATACATGTTTGCTAGAATCATCTAGATCATTTCAGCTATGGAATTGCTCTACTGCACTAAACGTAAAAGGAGCTGTCAACTTGAAAACTACATCACAAGGTGGAAGAGAGCATTTTAAGCTTTGGAGATGTAGAAAGAAAATAACTGAAACATCTGTGAATGAAACAAAACACAACTCCAGATCTGTTTTGACAAGGAAACAACATTCGTACATGACTTAAAGCTCACAAGAATCCATTTTGTGTTGTATAGGAGCATTAATATGATGATATGCATTTTTTATTTTTGTTTTTAAGACAATAAAGATCAGAAACAGTGCCTTTAAGTGTGTAGAGTAGCAAATGGCAGTAGTATGTCAATAAATAGTGTTGGATTTGTAGACGTGTAAACAAATGGCTCAGGCTCAACCCTCCAGGCAACACTTTGTTTACTGAAGCTGTCTTTCGTACATCAGTGTAAACATGATTTCTCCTCCGGTCACACTCCAGCGTTATTGGATCCTGTGTCTACCCTCGAGGCTCAAAGGCACAAGGCAAGCTTAACGGTGTCGTACCTGATTTTGACTGTCTTAAAAACGTGAAAAACAGAACTAGTTAACTTTAAAGATGCATCGTTACTGAGGTTTGCTTTGTCTTTCTGCAGATCTGAGCAGTGACTTGGCCTGAAAGCGTCACATGATCGTCTTCGTGAACATGTAAAGCCATACTGTCAAACATTCTATAAACATGAACTTCTCCATGGAACAACCTGAAAAGTTTCATATTGCACCTTAAAATGTTTTGCAGTTGTAAAGTTCTTCCTTACTTACAGTAGGCATTTTGGGCATCCTGATTATTTACTGTGATGAGTTTATAAATGCTTTTAACAACTTTCAGAGACCAAAGCAGAGTTTATTGTCATAGTAATTCTAACAACAATTAGCATGCTAACCCCATGCTTCCGTTTTGTGAGACAATAAAATGCTTTATGATAAGATGCAGTCAGTACAGCGGCCTTATGTTGACCTCAAGAGTTGCTTATACAATATCTCTGTAGTAAGGCAAGACAAATGTTGCTCAAATATATGAAAAAACATTGGTATAACTTAAAGGTGCGCTGAGTAACTTTTCGGTTGGAGGTCCATCACCTTCTTGTTTCTATGGATATGTCATTGCTCTGCCTGGAATGTTCCACAATATGACACTGAACAGATCTACTTTACAGTTATTCAGTTACAGATGGTTTTATTACTCAAAAATGCATACCTAGAACTTTGTTTGGTTTGGTCTCCTTGAAGATAGAACCATTTAAAGCCATACTGTGAAACATTCCAAAAAAAGGAATAACATCTCCATTTTGGTGAATACCTCTGCCACTTTCTAATGTACAAGTTAATTACATTAGACATAATTTAATTCCTTTATTTAGACTTATATTCTAATTTGGGTGCACACATTTTAGTTAATATAAGTCTGAATTATTTACTTGTTCCCTCGGGAGAGAGCGTGAATGACTCAACAAAAGAGGAGAGCA